AATTTTTGAAATTACTACGTTCCCCAACAATCCTACCACGGCAACCACCTCGACACCCACCACCTCTGATTCTTCTCTCTCACCGTCTTCTTCATCCGAAAACCCACTACCACCCAATGCTGTTCTTATACCACCGCCCACCAATGATCATGTCATGTGCACCCGTGGAAAACGAGGATTTCTTCTCCCCACAAAACGTCTCAATCTTACCGCCACCCCAACTATCTCTCCTATTCCTACCAGTTATAAGCGAGCTCTTCTTGATCCTCTCTGGCTTTCCGCTATGCGCGATGAATTTGAAGCTCTTCAGCAAAATAATACATGGACTCTTGTTCCCAAACCTCCTGGTGTGAACATTGTTTCTGTCAAATGGGTTTTTCGTCATAAATTTCATTCCGATGGCACTCTCACTCGTTACAAAGCTCGTTGGGTGTGTCGTGGTTTCTCCCAGCAGTCTGGTATTGACTTTGATGAGACTTTTTCTCCCGTTGTTAAACCAAGCACTATTCGTGTTGTTCTTAGTCTTATTGTTTCCTCTTCTTGGCCTATTCATCAACTTGATGTTAAAAATGCTTTTCTTCATGGCACTCTCAATGAAACTGTTTATTGTCAGCAACCCTCTGGTTTTGAGAATCCCTCCTCTCCAAATTTTGTTTGTCTCCTCAACAAATCTCTTTATGGCCTTAAACAAGCTCCTCGTGCATGGTTTCAACGCTTTACTACTTTTATTCAAACCATAGGCTTTATTCCCTCCAAATCTGATTCTTCTCTTTTTTTTATCAGTCTCCTACTCACACTGCCTACCTCTTGCTTTATGTTGATGATATCATTCTCACGGCTAGTTCTGATTCTCTTCTTCAACATATCATCTCTTCTCTCAATCGTGAGTTTTCCATGACTGATCTTGGTCCTCTTCATCATTTTCTAGGTATTAATGTTTCTCGCACAAAGTCTTCACTATTTCTTTCTCAACGATCATACATTTTGGACTTGCTTTCTCGTTCTAGTATGTCTGATTGTCAACCCTCTCGTACTCCAGTCGACATTGGTGCTAAACTGTCGGTTGATGGTGATCCTCTTTCCGATCCCACTTTATATCGTAGCATCACTGGCGCTCTTCAATATGCCACTCCTACTCGTCCTGACATCTCCTATTCCGTTCAGCAAGCCTGTCTCTTTATGCATGACCCTCGTGCTCCTCATCTGGCTCATGTCAGACGCATTCTCCACTATTTAAAAGGCACTCTTGATCACGGTCTCCTTTTTAATTCTTCTTCACCTACAACCTTGACAGTTTATTCTGATGCAGACTAGGCAGGTTGTCCAGATACTCAACGATCTACATCCGGATTTTGCGTTTATTTGGGTGATAATCTTGTTTCTTGGTGTTCTAAAAGGCAGGTAACAGTTTCCAGGTCTTCTGCTGAGGCTGAGTATAGGGCGGTTGCTCACGCTATGGCCGAGGCGGTGTGGCTACGGCAGCTTCTCGTTGAACTTCATCGCCCGCTTCCCCGTGCTACCATTGTTTACTGTGATAACATCTCTGCAGTCTACATGGCTTCCAATCCAGTTCAACATCGTCGCACAAAGCACGAGATTGACATCCACTTTGTTCATGAAAAGGTGGCTCTTGGCGAGGTTCGCGTTCTTCATGTTCCTACAAGTGCCCAATTTGCTGACATTTTTACCAAAGGACTCCCGACTGCATCGTTCACCGACATACGCTCCAGTCTCAACATTGTTACACCTGACGTTGAGACTGCGGGGGGATACTAGAGTATAAGACTATTCATATTGTAATCTATCTCTATTAGTCTAGTCTTGAAGCCCAAGCTTTGTAATCTATATAAACAACCCTTGAGGCCCCAAATTAATACAACAATTATTCTCCAATATCTCAAATTATCAAAGATCAAGAAGCCTTATTCGGCTGAAGAAAGCATGAACATGCGAAGAAAACGCACTTGAATAAAATAAAACCTGTTGCTCTATATATAAAGCTGGACGAAGCCTTTTTCGACAATAAAATAAAGTCATAGAGCAATATCTCGTTATTTTTGGCAGACTGGCAAGAAAATCATAATTGGGGCATCTCCGAAACACATTTAAGTCCCCAAAAAATAACTCGCTGTCTACATCCAGGAAACACATTTAAGTCCCCAAAAATAGGGGGGCAGTACACTGCTCCGTTCCGAAATATTGGGACAAAATGACACACTGAAAAACAAAACTGTCTAATGTGCAAACTTCGGGCAGGGAGGATTTTTGTTTGCAATCCTCGTCGGCCGTCGCCGCCGGCAACCATCTGGTCACGTTGCCGCTTGCCGCACCCTTCTCTAGGAGTTCGTCGGCATAAGAACCTCTGTGGGAGGCCGCGTTGTTGCGGCCCCCTCTCCCAGTATCGACATGCGCCTCCAGCGGCCTCCTGGAACGGACACATCAGCTGGCCTCTAATATGTCGTCGTCGTCCAACCACTTTGGACACGGTGCCGGTAACCAAACTTGACCATGAGCTAGTTCATAATGACACCACCCTCACCATTGGCGGGTAAAACGGGACGACCGCCATGGACTTGAGGGAAGGAGACCATGATGCTGATATGGTTTGTTTCTCAGTAATACACGTTGTTGATTTACTTAGTTCTTAATCCAGTATGTGGTGATTAATTTAGTCGCATTGTTTGTCTTTCATACATCACAAAACATACACATATGTTTTTATGTTCAAATCAAGTATTTTATACTTTTTTGCAACATACTCCATGGCGCAAATTCCCATCTTCGTACTCCAACGTCTAAGGGTTAATTGGATCCATGCCACCACAACTTTCACGAGTTGGCAAAATGCCATTACAAGTTTGCACACTTGAAAAATGCTATTACAATTCTTTCATCCTCCTTTCATGAGTTGGCAAAATATCATGAATTGTAATGGCATTTTCCAACTAGTGAAAGTTGTAGTGGCATATATCTAATTAGGGAGTGCTTAGAACTCATTTAGATGAGATATAATTTGATCTCATTCACTTCCTTTTTTAGAGGAGTCTCATCCACCGCCGTGTGTTGTTTGTGTAGCCCGTTTTCGTTCGCCGGCCCAACAACGTGCTTTGGAGATAAATGCATGTTGTCCCGTTTGCTGGCCAGTAACCCACTTTGAAGACACGGTAAAAAATAAACAAATTTCTAGGAGCAAGGATCGAACCTGCAACCTCACAAAAATGGATAGCTAGTCCTGGCCAAAAATGACATTTGCCCATTATTAGTATTACACGCTATTAATAGAACTGTGTAACGTGTTGAAGTTGTTCATTTTTAATAAATAAAACATTTTTAGCATTTTTTGGTGTTCTGTGTACTTGGTATGCACACAAAAAATGACTACTAATATCACCATAAAAAGATTGATTAGTACCCTTTGCCATATTTTTGTGTGAAAAAAGTGTGACCTTTTTGAAATTTGCAGTTGCGACCCTTCTTGCAAAAAATACAATTGTGATCTTCCTTGATAACTTGCAGTTGCGATCCCTCTACTCTTATAAAATTGCAGTTGCACTCAGGTTACAACCCTTATAATTGCACGTTTAGTGGTGGCGTGCAATTGGCCCAGAAAACTCATGTCTCGACCCTAGTTGTGGCCACTTTGTTCCTATGCAGTTGCAGTCAATTTACAATGCTTGCAGTTGCGTGTCTACTGGTGGACATGCAACTGGCCCCAACAACTCACCTCCCGACCCTAGTTGTAGTCGCTTTGGCCCCAATGTTGTTGCAATCGGGTTACAACACTTGCAGTTGCATGTCTAGTGGTGGACATACAACTGATCTCAACAACTCCACTCCTAACCCTAGTTGCAGTCGCTTTGGGCCCATGCAGTTGTAGATGGGTTACAACACTTGCAGTTGCATGTCTAGTTGTGAATATGCAGCTGACCTCGATAACTCCCCTTCTGACTCTAATTGAAGTCGCATTGGACCCATGCGGTTGCAATCGGGTTACAATGCTTGTAGTTGTAAGCCTCGTGGTGGACATGCAACTAGCCACAACAACAACTCCCACGATCCCATATGCCATCGTCGCTTTGTGCCCGTGCAGTTACAGTCGGGTTACAAAGCTTGCAGTTGCATGTCTAGTGGTGGACATGCAACTGGCTTATGTCCTGTTCCCATCATGTTTTTTTAATCTCAAGTTCATTATTGTGTTGGCATGGCGATTTTTTGAAAATATTAATAATAGGCAAAAGAAAACCAAACAATCAATTTTGCATTTTCCCAATCAACAAAAAAATGACTCTGCACACTTATGTCCCTCATACAAAACAGTAGAAATAAAACAAACAAAGAAGAGAAACAACCACATTGCAAGACGAACAGAATAGAACAGAACAACAACAATTAAAAATTGTTGTTAATGACCAAAATATAGTAGTTGAGAAACTGCCATACTCTCTTCGTTTTTTTAGGGGAAGCCATACTCTCTTCGTAGGTTTTATTTTCCAGCAAAACATAGCTAGTATTTATTGATCAAGAACAATGTTTACATGGATAATTGTTGGGTCATAAGGTAATCCCAACCACAGATGTTTTCCATGAGGAAGAAGAGAACCATATCTAGCTATGTTATGAGCTTCAAAATTTGAAACTCGAGGTTCAAATACAAAATTGCAAAAGGTAAAAACACTCAATCTCTACAATCTCTTTGATAATACCACCATAGTTCCCTCCAAACTGCTGATGAATACAACCATACTCTCTTCGTTTTTTTTTGAGGGAAAACCATACTCTCTTCGTAGGTGGGAAAAAACACGACCAGAGAAAAAGGCCCATATGTCCATAACCCAGCAACAGAAAGCCCATAACTCTGACAACAACATGGTGGACAAGAAAAAAAAGCAGTTGTTGCACGAATCTCTGCGTGCCCGATAATCAAACGGTTCAGCAGGTGAATGAGACCATAGATGAGTTTCAGCAAAACCGATCTAATTAACCCTAATATATTCCCTAGCTCACCGACCGCCATGCAGGGAGCCGAACGACATGGTGCCACAGGAGGAGGGCAAGGTCATGGCGGAGAGCACGGGCCCAAGGAACACGGAGGAGTCGGGATCCGAGAACACGAGCGCCGAGTCCTCCGGCAGCACCTTCTCGCCGTTGAGAAACTGGCAGACCTGCCTCATGCTGGGCCTGGCCTCAGGCCGTCCCAGGCTACACACCATGCCCAGCCACAGCACCAGCTTCGCCTCCGCGGCGTCGTAGCACCCGTCCAGCCTCGGGTCCACGGCCCGCAGCAGGTCGCCGTCTAGCCCGCAGTCCCGGACCCAGCGCACCAAGATCACGTCCGCCGCCTCGCCCCGCTCGACGGGCCGGCGGCCGCACGCGGCCTCGAGGAGCAGCGCGCCGAAGGAGAAGACGTCGGTGGCCGTGGTGGCGCGGCTGGTGACGGTGAGCTCGGGGGCCATGTACCCCAGGGTGCCGGCCACGCGCGTCGTGCCCGGGGCCGCGCCGTGCTCGTAGAGGCGCGCCAGGCCGAAGTCGCCCAGCCGCGCGCCCATGTCGGCGCCGAGCAGCACGTTGTTGGCCTTCACGTCGCGGTGCACCACCACGTGCTCCCACTCCTCGTGCAGGTACAACAGGCCGCGCGCCACGCCCCGGATGACGCCGAACCGCTGAGCCCACGTGAGCACCTCGCCCCGCCCCGCCCCGCCGTGTTGAGTAAATAGGCAGTTTTTCGATTAAATTAATCCATGAATAAATCATGAGCATGACATGGACAGCATTGATAACATACTGATTATGATCTAACAGAGCATGTACTACGCATATAGTAGAGACATCTACGCATACCGCTAGTACTGCTACAACAGAAAGAAACACGAGAGGGATAAGCGATGTATACCCTCCAATCGGCCACGCGGTGGCGGTGGCGGTGACAGCAGCCGCGGCATCCTCGGCGGCCTTCTTGTCGGCCTCGGCTTTCTCAGCGGCGGCACGGTCGGTGTCGGTCGACATGGTGATGATGAAGGTGATGCGGACGTAGATGAACAGAAGCGAGCAGTCGCGTAGTCGCTACCCAAAAACCTAATCGCCCCTCTCCCCGTACAGGATCCGGAGAGGCGTGGTTTCGGAGGCCTGCTCTCCCGTCAACCGTGTACGCGGTGAACGGGACGGAGTCGCCGGCGGCAGCAGCAGCAGAGGAACGACGTGGGCATGGAGGCGGAGATGCGTTCTGTTTTGTGACGGCTAGGGTTGGCAGCGCCCCACATATATATGTGCGGCCGCGCGTGGAGAGACGTGGGCTGAACCCACGTCCAAGTCGGTAGCCCATGATCCGACGTCTCAGATCGTGGCCCCACCTGTCAAAGACTCTCCGTTCCTGACCGGCAAAAAGAAGCGCATAGGAGTGAGCTCGGCTCGGCTCAATCCCGCAACCCGCGGCGCGTCGTGACGAGGCGTGGCGTGGCGAGGCGAGCGGAGGAGGAGGAGTGCGCGAGGGCCTCATCTCTTCTCAAGCTCCAATAGCATGAGGGAGAGAGTCCCTTATAAACCACTCCAACTCTCCTTCCACTTCCAAGGTGGGACTAAACTTCCCACACACCTAGTGCCATATAACCCACATGGGCCCTTAGAGATTTTTCAGAAATTGCAATATGGGCCTAGAGCCCATCTCAGATTTCAGCAATCCCCCACCAGATCTCGAGGGCCCATAGTGTCCTCTGTTCCAAATACTGTTTTGATATACTAGTGTTTCAGTGAAGACCTGTTAAGGTTGAGCTTCACCTAGAGCAAGTAGCTACATTCCTTCACAACTGAACAATGGACTATGCCTTGAATTGTCAGTTTGGCGTAAAGAAGTTTCACCACATGTCTTACTAGTACTGGGCTGCCGAAGGCTGACCCCTCGGGTGGAGCATATAAGTCACACTCCTGGCCTATTCATGAGTTTACTAGAGATCACCCCAATCTCATAGACTGTGACCAGCAGTCGGGCTCATATAGGTGTGTTCCTCCAAAGATCGCTCTGTAGGATAGCATCTTGCTTTTATAAGCTTTGGAACACATTGAGACCGTAGTCATCCTACCATACAGTATCGAGAGTATTGCATCTCCAACGGAGTGGGTTAGTATAGTTACTCTCCTCAGTTCACCACTGGCTTGTTTTCCCAGGTCCTAGTTCACGGGATCTCCGATCATATAGGTTGGGTTACCACCATGGCAACTCATGTGGGTCTCATACCCATCTCCCTCGATGCATTATCTATCACAACACGTGATAGCCCTTTTGTAAAGGGATCTGCCAGATTCTTAGCCGTATGGACATAGTCCAACGCTATCACTCCGGAGTTTCTTAATTTTCTGACAGCTTTTAATCTCATTCTTATGTGTTTGGTGGACTTCATGTTGTCCTTTGAACTCTTCACCTTGGTGATGACAGTCTGATTGTCACAGTTCATAAGGATAGCCGGAACCGGTTTATCAACCAATGGCAAGTCCATCAAAAGATCTCGAAGCCATCTCGCTTCAACACCAGATGTGTCTAATGCCGTTAATTCTGCTTCCATTGTCGATCTCGTTAAGATCATTTGCTTGCAAGACTTCCAGGAAACAGCGCCACCTCCAAGAGTAAACATATACCCAGTTGTGGCCTTCATCTCATCAGCATCAGAGATCCAATTCGCATCACTATACCCTTCAAGTACCGACGGGTATCCGGTATAGTGAAGTCCATAGTTCATAGTACCTTTCAGATAGCGCATAACTCTCTCAACAGCATGCCAATGTACATCACCCGGTTTGGAAACAAACCGGCTCAGTTTGCTCACAGCAAACGCGATGTCAGGCCTCGTTGCGCTCGCTAGGTACATCAGTGAACCAATGATTTGAGAGTATCTCAATTGATCTTTAGCCATGCCTTTGGACTTTCGAATCAACACGCTAGGATCATATGGTGTTTGAGATGGTGTGCAGTCCGAATATCCAAAGCGACTCAACACCTTCTCAACATAATGGGATTGCAGAAGTGTGATCCCACCCTCATTATCTCTCAGTAGCTTGATATTCAAGATAACATCAGCCACACCAAGATCCTTCATCTCAAAGTTCTGAGACAGAAAGGACTTAACCTCCTCAATGACTTTGAGGTTGGTTCCGAATATCAGTATGTCATCAACATACAAGCACAGTATAACTCCTTCACCCCCACCATGGCGATAGTATACACATTTATCAGCCTCATTAACAACGAAACCAACAGATGTCAGAGTCGTATTAAACTTATCATGCCATTGCTTAGGTGCTTGTTTCAGGCCATATAAAGATTTTATCAACCTACACACCTTTCTTTCCTGACCATCTATCACAAAGCCATCAGGCTGTTGCATGTAGATTTCCTCCTTTAGCTCTCCATTTAGAAAAGCCGTCTTAACATCCATCTGATGGACGAGAAGACCATGTGAGGCCGCCAACGAGAGTAATACTCGAATGGTGGTCAGTCTAGCCACAGGTGAATAAGTATCAAAGAAATTTTCCTCTTCTTGCTGGTCATAGCCCTTGGCCACAAGCCTAGCCTTGTACTTTTCAATCGTACCATCGGGCCTAAGCTTCTTTTTGAACACCCACTTACATCCCAGTGGTTTGCAACCATAGGGACAGTCAGTGATCTCCCATGTCCCGTTAGCCATGATGGAATCCATCTCGCTACGGACCGCATCCTTCCAGTAGTCAGCTTCTGGAGAGGCATACGCTTCTGAAATAGAAGTGGGAGTATCATCCACGAGGTACACGAAGAAATCATCACCAAAGGTCTTTGCAGTCCTTTGTCTCTTGCCCCTACCAAGGGTTTCCTCGTCATCCTCCTCGGGATTTTCATCATGTGTTTGTTCATAATATTCCATAGGGATGGCAGGTTCAGGAGTCTCCTCAGATTCCTGTCTAGAAGTGCTTTGCATATCTCTCATAGGAAAAATATCCTCAAAGAATGTAGCATCCTTAGACTCCATAATTGTACCGATCTTCTGGTCAGGTACCTCAGATTTCACTACTAGAAATCTATAGCCAACGCTGTTCTTAGCGTAGCCCAAATTAATGCAGTCCACGGTCTTATGTCCAAGCTTACGCTTTTTGGGGATCGGCACGTTGACTTTCACCAAACAGCCCCAAGTGCGCAAGTACGAGAGTGTCGTCCTTCTCTTTGCCCATTTCTCATAGGGAGTGATCTCACTATCCTTTGTCGGAACTTTGTTCAGGACATGACATGCCGTCAATATAGCCTCCCCCCACCATGCCTTGGATAAACCCGATGTATCTAACATGGCGTTAACCAAATCAGTTAGAGTACGGTTTTTCCGCTCGGCAACCCCGTTTGACTGGGGTGAATAGGGAGGCGTCCTCTCATGAATAATGCCGTGTTCCGCACAGAAGGAATCAAACTCACTCGAGAAGTACTCTCCACCACGATCTGACCGGACTCGTTTAATTTTCTTTTCAAGTTGATTTTCAACTTCTGCCTTATAGATTTTAAAGTAGTGTAGAGCCTCATCTTTAGTATTTAACAGATACACATAGCAATATCTAGTGGAATCATCTATCAATGTCATGAAGTATCTCTTTCCACCTTTAGTCAACACACCATTCATCTCGCAAAGATCAGAATGTATGAGTTCTAATGGTGCCAGGTGTCTCTCCTCCGCGGCCTTATGAGGCTTGCGAGGTTGCTTAGCT